TGTATCACAGATCTCTTTGGGGGAAGAAAACAAAAAGGAGTAGAAATAGGACTGGGCAGGGAAAGGGAAGTCGGAAAATCTACAAACTTCCATTTTAGAAATAAGCCTATCCTGATAGCATCCTCAGGTTCTTTAAAACATGTTAGTAATCGCTTCTCGGCCTTTTGGCTAAGATCAAGTATAAAACATGTTATTAAATATTTACTTTCCACAAAAAGTATAGCTGGTCTTAAACCTTTGCTTCCTTAAAATAAACTGTGTCCTTACATTAACCAAGTTAAACTGTGGACCACAAACAGCCCCTATGGTCACAAAATGTCAGCTTAACAAAAAATGCATTTGGTTTTTGCGTACAAGTTTGCGATATAGTAATCACAACCCGTACCTTACACCTCATTTCAAGTAGTAAAGCAAACCTAATTAACACCCCATGTAATACATTCAGAGGCACCCATGATGTTTTTTTTTTCTCCCTCAAACTTCACATAAATGAAAACGCTTTGTGGTCTGTGGCGTACATACTACAGCGTGAGAACAGACGGACGCTCGTCTTCAGGCCTGCAGTGCTGCCAAGGATTGGCCAGTCTCCACTGGTTTTCCAGGGTGAGAATGGATTTGCATTGATGTAAATTCCCTGTTTGGCCTGGGCCCTCCAAGGATGGGTGGCTCCCACGCACCTGGAGTGGGCGTGGGCCTGGAGAGCAGACCAGAGTATGCAAAGCTGACCGTCTCACCTGGTGACTGAATGACTCTGTGGCAATGAACTTGGTCTCATTTGTTTAGTGTTCCCACCAGCTGAGCTAATTCCTCTTTCAAGATAAAATTTACACAAGCTAACACGACCTTCCAGAATTTTACTTTTTTAAAAGTTACCAACATTAAATGTCCAAAATGTCCCCTGTAATATTATGGACACAGAGAAGCTTTATAATAAAAAGACTGCCATGACAAAATTATCCCAAGCATATATAAGCATATCAAGAATCTGAAACATAGTGATTTTTACACATTAGAAGTGAAATTTAGAAAAACTGAAACAGTGAATGCTTTGAGAGCAAAACAAAAACAATAAAACCAATTCACAGCAATTGCCATTTTTTATTAGCCTGGGGTATTTTGCAGGGCTAACAGCACGTAGTTAGTAACCCCATCGCTATCACGTGCCAAAAGGAGCACCAGGAGGGGAGCCTGGAACTGAGGTCTAACCCTGGTGTCGTATAACATGACCCTACGACCCTGCGACCCTACCAGTTTCTTTATCTGTAGAATGAGAAACTGGGCTTGGCACAGCTGAGAGTCCTTCCAATTCTGCAATACTAAGAATTCTTATTCTTGTCAAAATGATATCAATCATGTTAAATATTTTTTAAAATCTAGTTATTTTTAACCCATGATGAAGATAGAGCTGCTAAACTATTTTAAGACGCAAAATAAAACCAGCCTGTGATTTTAAATAAAATATTTCTGAAAATAAGAACAGAAAAAATTACTGTATGAAACATTCTCAAAGAGCTGATTTGTTTTGTTTTCCATCTAGAAGGAGGCAGTGTCTCCTGGACAATACACAATATATTTTCTTAAACTATTTCAAATTATATAGAAATATAATTTGCTCCCTTCCCTCTCCTTTACTGTGAAAAATCCTTGCATAAGTGTCAAAGTGAAACCAGAATCCCCTCTACTAAATGCCAGTCTTCACTTTAGGATGCTGCTCTCTGAAGGCTGGATGATTGAATACATGCTGGAGCAGGAAGAAAGCACGAAGCAAACTGTTCTTAACCTTGTAAATCCTCATGGTGTCTCTTTTAGTGTAGGCTTCAGAGAAAAATTTAAATGCAAAGCAGAAATGATACCAAAGATTCCCAAACTAGAGCTGAAAAGCCTCTAATGTCCTCAAGAACGCTAAGCCCTGTGTTGGAACCAGAGGCCGAAAGGGACAGAGTGAAACAGCAACAGTTACAGTTCATTTGAACCTTCTTTTTTTTACATCTGCTTTCATTAAAAAGACAGAAAATGAAGATGTAAGTTATTTCTACTTAAATATTGACATAAGCATAATCCACTTCTGCTGCCAATCAAGACATTTGAAAAGAATTTACCATTTGTGATTGGCTCACTTATTTCAATAAAGCTTTTCTCCACCTCTGAAAAAAATGTAGTCTATTATTAATAGTATGAATTTATGTAGGTATTTTTTTCTTAAAAAATTTTTATCAAATGTGCTTCAAAGTCTACTTACTTTGAAAAAATAATCTATCAGCTATAAGGCACAGATGTCCCATACAGGTCACCGTAGTCACACACAGTAGCAAAACTGGCGATTCGTACATGGGGTGGGCAAAGGTTGGTTTATAGTCGTTCCTGTGGAGAGACATACAGGTTACGATTCTTACAGTAGCTTTATTCACTCCAAAGAATGTCACAGTGCAACTGTAAACCTACTTTTCCCCACCTCTGTATTAATACTACAAACCAAAGTGTTACATTGAAAGGGGGGAGGTACAATTCAGGGTCAAATAGATACGTCATCATAAAATCTTGCCACTTTAAATAGAGATTTATTGGACACTTTAATAGCTTCTTAAATTGAGGAATTTATCTAGTGCTTAAATTTTTAAGTATAGGTGTCCACCCCCACTTTTCGAAAGTTTGAGTTAGGCCAATTAGCTTTAAAAAAAAACCTGCCTGCTCCTGCTAACCAAAAGAAATCTGAAAAGGGGTTTTGCTTCTAAAACAATTGTAATTTCTTTTTCACTTTATACCATTTCAGCCTATGAAAGGATTCATAGGAACACTTTACTTTCAGCTAGCAGGCAACACCTGTATTTTTTTCCTTTCCTTAAATGAAGCATATAAAGGATAAATGAGGGGGTGTTCTTTCTGAAACTTTCATTAAGGTGAGTAATAAAGTGCATTATCAACCAAAATAAATATTTAAAAATAGACTGCTTGTAGGTTCCAAGGACAGTAATGCATAAGGGCACTAAAGAACAGTGTTTAAAACTAATATACTTAAAATGGACACTTTTAATTTCATTTTTCCTATATCCCTGTACTTATTGGATTTATATAGCACCTATCTTCAAGGAACTAAAGGTGCCTTGTTAGAGTCTAACAAGTATTATGATTGCACAACAGCAACTGTTTTCAAACAGCAATATTTTTACCTTAAGAATGTTCTATTGCCAGGTATTGGAATAGTAAGGACTGACGTGAGAGAAAAGAGAGCTGTGGCAAACAGGGAAGTTCATACGAAGAATGAAGCAAGGGAATGAAGAAAAAACAAGAACTCCTAACTTCCAAAGAGCCATCCACCTACAAGGTGACAACTGGGCTTCACCTAATTGCAAATTCTGCTTCAGTGAGCTGAGGAAGAGAAACTCTAAATGAATAAATCTATCGCTTTCCTGGGTATAAGGTAAAAAAGGTCAGATTTTAACTGTTAGGTTACCACATGATGAAGAAGAAATAATTCTTTTGAATAGAGACTCTCTAGATATTATACTTTTGTTGTTTTCTACAAACCAGCAGACTTACCAGTACAAGTCCCATCAGCAGTTTAGTTCTAAGATGTGTGTGCTCTTGTTACATGTTTTCACTGTTTTTGGCAAGCTGACATCTCTGTCCTGTTTTAGAAAATAGGGAGCCAAGTAGTTTATGGGTTCCTGCTGAAAACTTAAAATGTTTAATGGAATATTAAGTACCATATATTCAACCTTTTCTCAGGCAATTATAAGATCTGAAATATAACTATAAATAATGAGTACTACAATAGTTCATAAAATGAGCTCTATAAAAGTTAATATGGTTAAAACTTCATACTCTAAGTATTTAGTCTAATCTACACAAGGAACAGATTCACGGTTTTTGTCCCATCTTGAAAACCTCTGAATTTAATTCAAAAAAAGAAACAGGCAAAGATTTCTAGAACCCAAAGTACTATCTAATCCTATTTCATTTATAAAAATATGGAAATGTAACTTTTGTTTCAAATATAAAATGCTGCAGAACATAATTTGGAAAGAAAGAAGTCGCTGAGACTTACTGATACAAGTTTATCACACTTTATGTTAAGCAATAATGGCTAAATTAAAGTTGCTTGGAGATTAATGGAATTTACTAGTAAGCTTAATTGGCAAATAAACTTTGAGAAAAAGAAAAGCTTTTCTATTATTGAGAATGTCAATTGATAAACCGATTGCTTTATTTACACCTAAATGTGATTTGTTCTTCACAAAGGTGTATGTACCAACATAGAGCTTAGCTAAAATCAAAATATCCCCCAAATTCTTAAATACAGAACTGTATTAAGAACCTGTGATTAGCTCAGACCCTTGACTCTGCGTGTAGACACTTATCTCTGGGTACTTCCTCAAGCTCATATCCTAGCATAGCAAATTCTTAAACACATTTAGCAGGATCTCTCATAAACTGCCAAATATTTTTTTCAAATAGTCTCAAGAAAGACAGTCTAAGTTCCCATGTACATTATGATCTTAGGGGAAAAATTTTAATTTACATTTTAAAATCTTTCACTTTAGAATATTCTGTCTTTACACACTTCATTGTCATACATGAAGTATTTATTTGCACTGTATTTGTTTCATATTCCAATCACCCATTGAGCAATTTCATATGGAGAATTTTATTAACTATATAATTGTTCTATCCTAAAAATTTAATTAATCTAGAAAAGCCCTGAACCATGACCTGTTTATTGTATAGGACTCTTCTCTCTTACCAACTTTATAATGCTCTCACAAAATTGCTTCTTTAATAGAATTTAAGGCCCATAAATCTATTCACATGAATATTCAAATTCTCTACTTAAATCCTGAGAGGACCCACCATCTCAAAATTACCTCCAAAGTCTACTTATGTAAGATACTGCTCCAGTTTCATTCTCAGCTGTAATACCTTAATTGTCATTGGAAGAAAAACCCTTCAGCAGCACTGCCCCAATCCTTTTATCCAAATAGCGAAATTTAACACAACCGTCATTCTTTTAAGAACCTTTATTGAATTTTTTAACAATTTAGCCTGTTGGATCTCAATGCAGTTTGTAAAACAATTGTTTAGTTTCATATAAACTGCAACCAAAAAAGTAATTGTCAAAGAAGTTATCTGAAGTTGCAAGTTATTTTTTGTCATATGCAGAACAGTAGAACGTAAGCATGCTCTCGGATGCAGGTGCTCCTGTGTACTATGGAGTTATTCTGAAGAGCTTGCTAAGGTCTGCAGGCAGTTTACGGAATGCAATCATTTTCTTCACAATTTAGGTACATGAGAATAAAACTGATACTTATGAACAGAGTATTTTTGTCAAAAAAGTTGAGGCAGCTTCTGTTGAATGCTATCTGTGTTGGTACACTTGTTACACCTTGAACTGTACTAAGAGAAACAGACAGCCAGGAGTTCATGCTGAAATTTGAAAAATCCCTCCACATGTGTTGATTTCCAGGAAAGGGACGAGGGTAAAAGGCTATGTAATTGTTCATCATCTTACATCAGCAGACCACAGCAAGACACTTTACATGACAAGGGCGCAAATTTCCTTCACTGCTTTCAGTCAAGGTCAGCTGTGTCTATAGTGGAGGGTAGAGGTGGAGCAAGCCTAAGACTGGATAAAGCTTAATTAAGTCTACATCTCATGCAGTTGTCCTTGTTCTGTCTTTGAGTGTTTCTCAGACATCCGAATTAGAACTGAGGTTTGTTAACCTGGGGTCCGCGTTGATCTCGTATCTGTAATGATACCCTTCCATGTGATCTCTGCAGGCATCTCTGATGTTATGCATCCACTTTTTTATCCCCTTACGGTTCAAATACAAAACCAGTAGGAAAATGGCGCCTATCAGGGCTAAAACAATACCTAAAAAGACATAAGAAGTCTGCAGCGATGGAGGGAGGATAGGGTCACACTCCAGGTCGGAGCTGTTGAGTTCCAGGAGGACCCGATTCCTCATTTTTTCCGGAAATGCGCAGGTGAGCCCGGCTTTGCTCTGCACTGACTCTGTCTCCTTGAGCCAGGTCACCATGTCCTCCATGTGACAGTCGCAGACCCAGGGATTGTTGTCCAGGAAGACCCTGACTTGAGGCAGGCCTTGCAGCTCTGCCAGGGTGCCGTTATGAAGGACCTTGAGGGCGTTGTCCTCCAAGTGGAGGCTTTCTAGGTGTGTCAGGTTTCGGAAGGACACAAAAGTCAGGCTCACCAGTGAGTTGTTGCGCAGGTCCAGGTGCCTGAGGCTGGGCAGCTGGACCAGTACGTCCTGGGGCAAGTAGAGAAAGTGGTTGCTGGCGAGCTCCAGGCGGCGGAGCCCACGCAGCGCCTGGCCAGCTCGCAGGGCAGCAGCCACCATACTCTCGATGCTCCACTTCTCCTTATCCACAGGGGGCAGGACGTGGTTCAGGATCAGTTCCACCAGAGGGCTTGGGGCCGAGACGCTGGCATTGCTGCCAGAGAACGCGAAGGGGCTGAGTTTGTGCAGAGGGTTATGACTGAGGTCGAGCTGGCGCAGGCTGGGCAGATTCTCGAAGGCTCCCGCGTGCACCTCCTGCAGGTGGCTGCCACTGAGGTTTAGGGCAGCCAGCTCGGCCAGCGGGGCGCCACGGGCAAAGGCACCGGCTGGAAGCACTGCCAGCTGATTGCCCGTGAGGAAGAGGTTGCGCACGTAAGGGGGCAGGTCCGCTGGCACCTCGGTCAGATCACTGTTAACGCACTTGACTGTCCGTGCTGCTTCGGAGCACTCGCACGGTGGCGGGCAGTGGCTCGGTAGCGAAGGCTGGGCTGACACCACGGAGGCCAGGAATGATGCAGAGGAGGTGGAGGAAGTCGCCAGGGAAGTGAGTGAGGATGAGGAGACCCAGCCCAGCAGGACCAGCGCCAGCCGCGCGACCCGCAGCCTTGCGTCCCCGGCGCCCGGGCCCCGGGAGCAGCCCCCAGGCATCGCGGCACGGGTCTCCCACGACTTGGCCAGGGACGGCGCCGGCTCCGAAGGCTCCGGAGCTGGGCCCGGAGGGCACGGGTAGGCAGGAAGCGCGTGGAGAAAACTTTCCTCCCGTGGGTGCGGAGGAGGGACGCAGCAACCGGAACTCGGCTAACCCCTCCTGGCCAGCAGGCGTTCCCCAGCCGGAGCGACTCCCCCGCCCCTTCCCTCCAGAAAGTAGGCTTGGCCAGCCAGGACACTCAAACTCGGTTCCTCTTCCCGCCGCCGCCCCCAATGGCACCTCTAGTCTCTTTTGTTGGCGCCTCACGCTGGATCAGCTGAAGGACCTAGGGACAAGCGGTAGATAAGTGTGAGGAGCAGTGGCGACCGCAACTCTCCGAGCGCAGGAACCGGCCTATCCAAGCCAAGTTGTCCCCACTCGGTCCCCAAACCTCCCTCCCAAAGCCAGTGTGGGCCTCACCTCCCCCAGCCCCACGCACATCCTTACCCGGGAGAGGGGCGCCCACCTCCAGACGGGAGCGCAAAGTCTCGCTTCTGTTCTGGCTATATATTCATAGGGTATATGTGGATATCCCTATATCCATAGGGTATCCATTTCAGCCTCTGGCCCTCCTTTTTTCGAGATCAAATTCATCCCCTGTGCATAACTTCTGGCTAAATCCTCTGCGCCCTCCCGACCAAACTTCTCACTCTCCCACAGCCTCAGCCTCCGTTTCTCCGTCTCCACCCTGGACTGCTCCTCTGATCCCAGTTAGGATAAGAGGAAAGTTTCAGGTTGCGAGAGTCTTTCCATCTCTTTCAGTCCCTTCTGGGATAAGCAGGAAGTGGAGGGCTGTGCCATTGCCCCCGCCGCCGCCCCCCACCCCAGCTCGCAGTCCGGCCAGCCCCTTGGGTCCCCGAGGGGGTTCAAGCCATCTCCAAAGGGGAAGGGAGAGACCACGAAGCGTCAGTGAAACCCGGGACCCTGGACCCTTGCCTGAAGATTGGGAAGAGCCCTGCCCTGGCGCTGCCTCCCGGTTCTCACCAGTGCAGCTCGTTCCCAACCGCTCACCTCCCCGCCGCCAGCCCCGAGGCGACTCCTCGTCCCACTAGAGTCTCGCCGACTTTCCTGCTCCGCGCAGCCAGTGCCGACTCTGCTCGCACCCCCAGCCCGGGGCCCAGCCTCCACAACTGGGAAAAACCAACCCCGGGGGCGGGGGAGGGCCAGGCGGGCCGGAGGGACTTACGCGGCGCGCCCAACCTTGGAAGTCCTCGGCAGGAAGATTTCAGAAAGGAGACTGGGGGTATATGGGCTGCGCGCCTCCTCCTGGTGGAAATTAACGAGGAACGTGCGGGGGTAAAAGGTGAGGGAATCCCTTTCTACCCCCTCCTTGGCATCCTTTGTTGGTTCTTCGTTTTGCATACTGTATTTACCTTGGACAGGAACAAAACCGCTAGTGAATCTCGTGGAATTCACCCTGATTCGGGCACCTAGGGCAGTAGCCAGATGGCTTCGGGCGTGACAGATCAGTGGGAAGCAGCAGCATAAAGAAATGAGCTGAAAATGCAGAGTGGCCGCAGGAAAACGCCCAGGAAGCTGCAAGGGAGCTTCAGAAAATCTTCCCATCCAAGTGATCCCTTAGATGCTGACTTCAGATTTAGGTGTCCTGAATGTGTCCCATACCTGCCCCGCCCCCGCATGTCTTGAACAATTTTGGAACTTGCAAAGAGAGCCAACTTTAAGATGGGGCGGGAGGCGGTAAGTTACTGGAGAGGAGATTCATTCTTAATTCATTAGCTTTTTCTCCACCCCAAATTAAAAGCAGAAGGAATAAAAAGGCCGCCAAAGCACACTAGAAACAAAAGGCAAATAGCAACGATGTGAGTCACCCGGAAGGCGGCCCCGCCCCCTCGCACAGGATGTAGCTGTTCTGTGTCACCGTGCCAGTAACTCTTCTAGTCAATCCTAGAAGAGTTCACAGGGCAGGGAGTGGGAGGAAGGCCGCCCAGAAAGATCAGAAGCTTGGACCTACAGTCTATGACCCGTGGGGGTGATCGGCAGGTGGGGAGGTGGAAAGGATGGAGTTGAGAAAAAGGACTGATCGAATGATTACTTACTGGAGGATCTGTTATACTGGAGAGGTTTTGGGGTCCTGAAAGCTGGAGAATGATCCTTGCTCTCAATGACTGTATCCCCTTTGTCCCAATCAAATAATTAACCTGAAAGAGTGAGAAGGTGCTGGTTATTCCAGGCTTCTTTGTTTTGGAGAGAAAAATGGCAATTAGAGAAAACAGTCGATAATAAAATGCTCAAATCAGGAATGCTGATTGTGCCTGTGAGTGGTGCATTTAGTGTGAAGAAAGGCCCAGCCCTCAGGCCCATCCCTGATTACTTTTACTGGCAAGAGAGTATCTGCGAAGCCAGAAGCAAAAAATGGCCCAGAGAAGACCTGGAGGAGTTGGAGACTGCAGATATTTGAGCGAAAAGCCAGTTTTGTTAATTTGCATCTTCATCACGTTTATCTATAGCCCCTTTTCTTATTTTCAAAAGTGCTTTGTAATCGAGTATGAAAACTTTGGAAAAAGAGTCTCAGAAGCTGCAGTGGGTTCTGTATGCCAGCCGTGGTGGTGGTTACATAAATCGGCACATGGGTTAAAAGTCACAGATCTATGTACACCAAAAAAAATGTCAAGTTTACTCTATGATACATTTTAACGCAAAATTAATTACTTCTGGAGGGGAAATTACCCCCTCCCCAGAGTAATGCTCTGGCAATGTACTAATTCTGGTTCTGATCTAAAGAGCAATTGCTCTATTAGAAATGGGAAGAACTTTGCAATTTAGAAAGATTATGCATATTCTCATCCTATCTTCAAATTAGCTTGGCAATAGAGATATAATTAGTATTATTGTCTTGTAATTACTGGTGGTATTAACAGGTTCTACAAATGAAAAATCTGGGGTCCTGAGCATTAACTGTCTTTTACTTGCCAAACCCTGTGCTGATCACTTGACAAAAGTTATTTCATTTACTCTGCACGTCAGTACTCAGGTGGGCACTATCACTCCAGTTCTACAGACAAGGAAATTGAAGCGAAAATAAATAATAGACTATAGTTTCCACCCCCTTGTCTTCTGGGGATCAATTCCAAGACCCCCAGTAAATGCTTGAAATTGTGCATAGTACCTAACTCTATATATACTGTTTTTTCTATATATAAATACCTATGATAAAATTTAATGTACAAATTAGGCACAATAGGGGATTAACAATAATAATAAAATAGAACAATTGTAAACAATATACTATAATGAAAGATATGTGAGCATGGTCTCTCAAAATATCTTACTGTCCGGTACTTACCTTTTCACGTAAAGGAGGCATTTTATGGCATCTCTTGGGCACATCTGAATTGCTAGCATTACTACCCTGGCACTTTAGGACCATTGTAAAATAAAGTGAGTTACCTGAGCACAAGTACTTCCATATCTTGAAGCTGATCTGATAACCAATATGGCTACTAAGTGACTAAGGGGCAGGAGTCTACAGAGCAAAGATACACTGGACGAAGGGATGGTTCTTGGCTGGGACAGGAGATTTTATCATTCAGAACAGGCACACAATTTAAAACTTATGAATTATTTGTTTCTGGAATTTTCTATTTAGTATTTTCCAACCGGAGTTGGCATGTGTAACTGAAACCTTGGAAAACGAAGCTGCAGATAAGGGGGAGCTACTGTAACTTTCTCCAGTGAACGGTGGAGGTGGGGACCAGGCCCAGATTTGCCTGCCTTTCATAAATATCCCACATTCCACATCGAGGCAAGGCTAAGGAGTGTGTGCAAAGCCCAGCTCTGCTACACCAGAGCCTCATCCCTGGCTTTTCTTCCCCGACCTCTCTGCAGCTGGCAGTTGGTTATGGCTGCTGAATCAGGACCTCTCAGAAACTTGCTGTATGCAAGTTTCTAACTTCATTACTTACTGTATGACTTCTGTACACCTCTGTTTCTTAATCTGTAAAATAGGAGCACTAATAAAACTTTAGGACTCTTCCATGAGAATTTAGATAATGTATGTAACACACTTAGCAAAATTATTATGATGTTCTCCTTCATTACCCTCCTCACCATTTATTGTGGACTCACTATATCTCTGTAACTAACTAGATTCGTAATAGTAGTACATACAACAATGGATAGTTGATGCTCTCCATAAGTACAACTGTGAGATACAGCAAATAAAAACTCAGGATACCCAGTTAAACTTGAATTTCAGTTGAACAAAGAATACATGTTTAGTATAAATATGTCCCAAGCAATATTTGGGATATACTTATACTAAAATAATTCATTGTTTACCTGAAATTCTAATTTCACTGGGCATCCTTTATTTGATATGGCAGGTCTGGCATCCCAGGATTTCATCACCTGATGGAAGAAGCACAGAAACAAAAACCTTCAGCGCAGAACATCGAGTGCAGTTTGATGGCTGTGTGTCTTTCCAATCTCCTCTTCCTTTGTATATATTTTACTTCTACTTCTGCTATTTTTTATATAAATGAGATTATAGTATTAGCAATATTTTTTTTACTTAAAACAACCATATACTGTTTTATGTCCATACATATAGGTATGCTTTCTTCTTTTTTTTTAAAGCTTTTTTCTTTTTTTTTAAGACCACAAAATAGTCCATACTGTGGATTGTTATATCGCATATTTTTAACTGCCTTACTGAAAGGCATTTTGATCAGTAAGTACTTCTTACAGAAGTCTCCTTCAAGTGAGAGAGCTTTCTAGGATTCGTTCTATTTTGATTGTCATAAGCACTTAATTATCCTAAATTATCATATTTGCTTTACTCTTGACAGCTTGAAATTCTCTTTGTTCATGATGCTATTTACATGCTGTAAACAAGGACAGGATTTCAGAGCACATTTTCCTCATTTATTCTTCATTCCAAAATGAAATGAAAGAAGTGAATGTCTGGATGGAGAAGAACCAATTTAGTATATTTCAACTGGTCACTTCATAGCCTCCAGGAGAATGTATCTGCACCATCATTTATTTAGCAGATTTTTCCCCAAAGGAATTACTTTTTCTTCTAAAGACCCAAAGGCAAGTCATTAGTAAATTATTGAAATTTTGCTGCTAAATCCTGGGGAGGCAAGGAATAATGTGGTATATTTTTAAAAGATGAGTGATTATGGGCTGGCAGGTGTAGCTCAGTGGATTGAGCATGGGCCTGTACACCAAAGGGTCATAGTTCGATTCCCAGTCAGGGCACATGCCTGGGTTGCAGGCTGGGTCCCCAGCAAGGGGCAACCACACATGGATACTTCTCTCCCTTTCTTTCTCCTTCCCTTCCCCTCTGTACAAAAATAAATAAATAAAATTTATATTAAAAAATATGAGTGATTGCAGCCACCCTCATGGTACCTAGCAGACATAAACCATGTGGTCCAGCATGGACAAATGCCATTATTTAAGACTAGTTAATTTTGATCTCTGCCTTAATTTAGCAAATGAATTGATGGAGGTGAACACTCTGAAATCTAAAAATACCTAAAACAAAATCAAGTATTGGTGAACAGAAAGCACATATATCATAAAAACCATGAACCAACACTTAAAACTAGAACAATCAACATTTGTTTCAAGAATCAGTACAAGGGGAAAAACTGTTATATATATATATATATATATATATATATATATATATATATACACACAAAATTTCATGGAAAAATAATTTTTAAAAATTGTGAATGATTAAAAATGGCATTCGGAGATCTAGACAGCTATATGCAAAAAAAATGAAACTTGAGCACCAACTTACACTGTACACAAAAATAAATTCAGGGTGGATAAAAAACATAAATATAAGTTACAACACCATAAAAATTTTACAGGAGAATATAGACAAGAAAAATCGCAGATATTCTATGCAGCAATGTTTTCACCGATGTGCCCCCTAGAGAGAGGGACATTAAAGGAAAGAATAAACAAATGGAACTTCATCAAAATAAAAAGCTCTTCATGGCTAAAGAAAACAGCAGTAAAACAAAAAAGGAACCAACTATATGTGAAAATATATTTGCCAATGATACTTCAGACAAGGGTTTGATCTCCAAATTATATAAAGAACTCACATGACTATAATACAGGAAGACAAACAATCTGATTAAAAATAGGCAAAGGACTGAATAGATATTGCTTTAAAGAGGACATACAGAGGGCCCATAGACATATGAAAAAATGCTCAACATCACTAGCCATCAGAAAGGTGCAAATTAAAACCACAATGAGATATCATCTCACACCTGTCAGAATGGCCATCATTAATAAATCAACAAACAACAAGTGCCGTGAGGATGTGGAGAAAGGGGAACCCTAATGTACTGTTGGTGGGAATGCAGACTGGTGCAGTCACTGTGGAAAACAGTATGGAATTTCCTAAAAAAATTAAAACTGGAACTGCCTTTTGGCCCAGTGATTTCACTGCTGTGAATATACCCTAAGAATCAGAAATATCAATTGAAAAGTATTTGTGCTATATTCATAGCAGCACTATTTACAATTGTCAGGTGTCGGAAACAGCCCAAGTGTCCATCAGTGGATGAGTGGATTAAAAAACTGTGGTACATTTACACAATGAAATACTATGCAGCAGAAAGAAGGAAGTCCTACCTTTTGCAACAGCATGGATGGGAGTAGGGACTATAGGGCTTAATGAAATAAGACAATAAGCAAAAGACAAATACCATATGACCCCACTAATAACTAGAATCTAATGAACAAAATAAACTAATGACCAAAACAGAATCAGAGACAAGGAACCTGGAACAGACTGATAGCTGTATGAG